GTGTCCTGCCTGGGGCACTTACTGCCATCCAGGCCTGACCATGGAGGTAGAATTTGGTGAGAGGGGCTTCTGAGGACCAGGGTCGGGCCCCGGGCCCACCACCCTTCGGCAGGTGACCTGGGGAGGGCAGGTACCTTCCAGCTCCACTGTCCTGCCTGTGAGATACGTGAAGTGCTTAGCGTTTGGCAGAGCGCCTGGGGTCCTTGGGCCGCAGTGACTAACGTCACAGCACCTTTGGAATTCAAGGCCTACCTTTACATATGGACCCCAGCTGCATTCTGGGTTTTCTCGGGGTGCCCCCAGGGGGCTCGCACAGGCTCCCTGCTGCTGCAGGAGGGCCGGGAGCTCAGGTCCTCTCCCACAGACACGGAGACCACCTGCGGGTCCCCTCAAGCCACTTCTGGGGGGATGTGGCTTTGTGTCCAAGGGCAGGACAGCCCTGTCTGGCCACCCACCTCTCAGTCACTCCAGGTGGGCATTCTGTCCCCCATGGTCCTCTCCTGGGGCCACTGTTTCACATACCTCCCCACAGCGCAGGTCCTGATGGCCAGAGGTAGAGGCCATGTCTAGGACATTCTGGGGACTACTGAGGACAAGTCCAAGGAGGGTTTCTCAGGTGCATCCAGAGAGCCGACAGCCGCCGTGCGGAACATGCAGAGGCAGGCCGATCGCACCCCCGAGGACACCTAGAGCACCCGCACAACCAAGCTGTCCTCCAGAGGCAGGACCAGCCCCAGGGCCAGAGGCAAAGCCTGAACGCCTGCTAGTTGCCAAACGTGTGTGTGTGGGGGGGTTCATCTCACACTCCAGGTGTGATTGTCCAGGGAGGCGGCAGTGACAGTGGGGTCTCAGTGGTGGGCTCAGGCTCCCTAAGAAGCCCATGGGGAGAGAGTTGAACACGGCGATGGAAAGAACTGGAAGCCAGAGGGGTGAGGTATAAAGTCTGTATTTACGTTACAAAGACAGAGGGTGCAGCACGTCCCTCCCGGTGGCGAGCAGGAGGGTGGGTGGCCTGTCTCCCTCCAGCGGGGACCTTGTGATATGCCCACCCAGCCAACACCAGGCCCCCTGGGTGGCCCCAGACCCTGGCACTGAGCCTGCCCTAGTGCCCTAAAAGTGGCCCAGGGTCAGAGTCTTGGGTGCACAGCAGTGGGGAAGGGACACCAGGTCAGCTGGCCCAGAGAGAAGCGGGGGGTGCGGAGTGAGGGCAGCCTGCCTCGCCCGCAGGTGGGGATTGTCTGGGGCAGAAAGGGGAGCGAGGACCTCGGGGCGCCGTGGGTACCGGGCAGCAGCCTCAGGGAAGCAGGCTTGGCCCCCTCCCCACCCCCCGCCTCCGAGGCCCATTCTGCAGAGGCGGCCCAGGGCTCTGGGGGGCAGCCTTCCTACAGCCTCCCCGGCCTCTGGCCTGGAGTGTGGAGACCCCAACCTGAACCTGGGGTCCAGGGTCTCAGCCACCGAGTGCCACAGTGGCTCACAGGGGCGTGGGAGGGCGGACGGAGAGGCGCTGACACCCCGCTGGCCCTGTTCCAGTCCTGTTTGCTTTCTATGGACCTAGCAGCTGAGTGTGCTCCCGACAATCCACGGTCGCGACAGGGTGCCCCAGCCCCGCGGCCACCAGCAACGGCAACCTGCGCAGTGGCAGGGAGCCGGACGACGGGGAACGGACGTGGAACTCCTAGCACCAGACCCTGGCCCCAGGCTGCCCCCCCACACGTCTGCTGGTGCAGGGGGGGCAGGGCGTCTGGGACCACAGCACCCCTGGGTGGTCAGTGAGGCCAACTCTCCGGCCCATACGGGAACCATGGCCTGAAAAGCCACGGGTAGAGCTGCCAGGACGGTCGGCCGAGGGCCCCAGCTGGTCGCCAGGTGGGGTTCTGCTGGCCAGAGATGGGGTGGGGTGGGGAGCTGAAGCTTCACTTCTGAACACAGGCCACCCCAGGGCCTGGACCGTGTCTCCTGGAGCAGCATGTCAGCCGCGGGTGCTCCTGCCCTGCTCGGAGCATGCGGGGCGCTCACAAGCGACACTCGGGGGGTGTGCTCCAGCAGGCAGGGTCCCCAGGCACCCAGGGGAGCTGGGGGGAGATGCCCACAGTGAAGCTTTCCTTATGGTTACCGGCAAGAGGACAACCTCCCGCTCCGTGTCCCGCCCCCTGCTCTTCAGCTGCCATTCTGAGCCCCTGCAGGGCAGACTCTGTGCCAGAGCTACTTCAGGGGACCCCTTTCTGCCTCAGGCGACTCACCCTGGGGTGAATGTTGGCATGACCAAAGAAGAACAATCTGGAAACTGTTTACAATGCACCAGACGGGAAAGCAGACACTGCGTGGGTCAGCCCCACAGCCCAACACCCAAATATTGCTGTGTGGTACCTGGGGTCTGGGACTTCAGAACGAAAGGCAGAAGCCTCCTAGTGCCCAAGCCTGATCCCCGGGGTGAGAGCCGTCTTCACCAGCTGCCCATGTCTGAGACCAGGAACCCTCGCCCAGGGCGGGGGTGGGGGGTTCAAGCTGGGCACAGGTGAGAACCTACTTATCTGGTTAGTAGGCTCTGGACCAGGAGGCCAGGCCACGCAGCAGGCCCCTGCAAGGACCGCGTTGCGGCTCCTCCCTCTGGGTGTCCGAATGCCTGACCCGGCCTGCAGTCTCTCATCCTCAGGAAGTGGTGACTGCTGGACGGGCTGTCCCATGGGAGGGGGGCGAGGAGGACACCTGCTGGGCAGGTCAGGGAACCCCGTGAGCCACAAGGGAGATGCTGGTGGTGGTGGTCGGGGTGGGGCCAGACACGGGACACAAGGCACACTTGGGCGATGGTGACAGACGGACGAGTCCCTGAGACGCTGGGTCGCTCCCACCCCTCAGCAAACAAGGACGCAACGACGCTAGGAAAATAGAGTACAAAAATCTCGTACAGGAAATGGAGGCGGCGCACGGCACTTGGCGGGAATCTTTAGAGCTGTTTTCTCTCTTTAAAAACGTTTCTTCTGTCTTTTGGAAAAGCCTCTTTCCCAGGAGCCCTGCTCTGGGCTGCTTGGCAATACAGCCTTTTTTTTTTTTGGCTTTTGATTTTTTTAAAGGGAGACAAGAAAGCCCCCTGAGGACCCAGTGGCCTCACCTGTCCGGCTCCCAGCGCACCTCAGTCCCTGCTGGGAGAAGCCCCTTCCTTGTGCAGACTGGGCGGGTGGCCAGGGGTGGGAGGGGGAGCTGGGCACAGGCAGGGGCCAGCGTTTGCCCAGGTGACCCGGGAAGGCCAGCCGCCTTGGGGCATGTGCCCTCTGGGTTCCAGGGACCTCTGAGTCTGGTGACCATGCGTGTCTGCGTGTGTGCAGGTGCGGGTGGGCGTGCCTAGGCGCGTGCACGTGTACATCTGAGGGACCTAAGAGCAGAAGCTGCCTAGCTGGGCGTGGGGTGACCTGGCCGGCCCAGGAACCCAGCCCTGCCCCTGGACAGCGAGAGGAGCAAAGGCCCCTCCCAGCCCTCCGGCCCCAGCGTGCTCACCCAAGTCCCGCCCTTCACGGATCCCTCTGTCCATGCTTCAGGAGCCTACGTGGACCAACGGATGGATGGACAGATGGATGGATGGAAAACCAAGCCTTCCTTCTTTCCTTCCTCGGTCCACTCGTGGGATCCGGGCCGGGGTCCGAGCTCCCCGCAGTGGTCATTAAGCCCTTAAACGGCGCCCGCCGAGTTTGCAGCAATGACATTTAATACTTCTGGAATGATTAGGAATCTGAGGACAGACTGTGGGCGGCTACGCTGGGCTCCGGGACCTGGGAGCTGGGCCCGCCCCGTGCCGGGGTCCCTGCCCAGCTGGGAGGGGCAGGCGGGCGGAGGCGGGCAGCCCAGCTTGGTGGCTGGGGCTTCCAGAATGGCACAGCAGTGGGCCCATGGAGCGGCTCGAGAGGGCTGGAGGGTTGACGTGCTTGGCTGGGTGGGCGAGCGGCCCAAGGAGCTCAGGGCACCGGGCCTACGAGAGGCCGGGGCAGCCAGGCCGCCGGCATGGGGGCCCGTAGCCACCGTCGCTGCAGCCGCCACTCTGCAGGCTGTAGTGGTCATCCACGTCACTGCCGCTGCCAACACTGTCCAGCTCACCGGGGCCAAACTCCATGCCCTCCACATCCACTTCTGGGGAGAGCAGAGGGAATGGTGTTGGGCACTGCAACGTGCCAGTGGGGTTCCCTTCAAATTTGGGGGGTCTCTGCCCTTCATGGAGGAAGCAGAGGCTCTGAGAGTGGGGGTGCTGGAAAGACGGGGCTCCTGGTCTATGGCCCCTGAAGCACACTAGCCCACTGAGCCCAGCTCTGGCCCTCGTGTGTGCAGATCACCTGGCCCGTGTCTTCCCCAGCTCACCCCGTTACTTCTGTCCCCGCGCAGAGGGCACTCGGACGGTGCCAGGGACACTGTCACGTGGGCATCCGCTGCCCGCTGCTATCACTACCACCCCCTCCCCTCCCCCAGGCCGCCTCCCTGGCCAGCCCCACTGTCCCAGCTTCCCACCTAGGGGCTGCCGGGAGCACACGCCCAAGCCAAGGACCTGTCAGGGTGGCCCATGTGTCCCCACCTTGCTCCGAGTCGTCCGTGGAGACGGCGGAGCCCGTGCTGTCCGTGCGCACGCGCTCCAGGCTCTGCACGGACAGCTGCTCCAGGCGCCTCTTCAGGAAGCGGTGCTCACGCTGCAGCTGCTCCTTGATGCTCAGTGCCCGGCGGTCCTGCTCCTCTAGTTTCTGGAGGCGGCGGGGAGGTCTGTGAGCCTGGGGGCCACCCCCTCCCCCACAGGGGCACTGAGGCCTGGGCGGGTTTCCCATCTTCCACCCAGCCTGAGCCCAGGGCCACAGGGTACCTAGTCCCTGCAGGCCCCGAAGGCTAGAGGCACCCCGCCTCACCCCCACCAGGTTGTTATTAGGTGCATCTGCCAGCCCAGTGCGGGGTGGCTGCTGACCAGCTCCAGAAGACCCACAGTCACCAGCCAGCTTAGCCAAGCCAAGTCACATGTGGGCCGGAAGCCCTGGGACAGCACGTCCAGGTCTGGGTGCTCCCTCCTCCAGAGGACAGCGCTGCCCATGGCGGCTGCTCCCTGCACACACTGCACCCACCCAGCCGGACCAGCCCACCTGGCCTCGGCCTTCTCCTCACCTTCCCCTGCCCTGAGACTGGCCTGCGCTGGGAGGGCCCGGGACATGGCCGTGACGCTCTCAAAGCTCCAGCCCCCCTGCCTAGGGATGCAGCACCTATGCAGGCCCCCAGGGCCTGATCAGGGGCCCCTCGAGGGGACTAAGACCCACTCTGGTTGGCCCAAGTATGGCAAGACACCAAGTCCAGCAGGTCTCAGGCTCAGACCTTCGGGGTCCTGCTCAAGCCACACCCCACTGGCAGGCCCCAGGACCCTATGCCCCGCAAGCTCCACCAGGCCTGGGCGCCCGCTTCCCACTGGCCTCCCAGCATGGAAGGAGCCCCGCCCTCCTGGCCC